GATTTTTCAAAAATTTATTTTAAAAAAAGTACTAACTAGCAAATGTTTTTTATTAGCTCGCAATTTTCTTCAAAACTACTTCAATGAGGAAAAAAATAAAAATTTGGAATATCTATACATGAGGGGCTAATTGATCGGATCTCACCCGGGGCTTTAATTGACAAAATCTGGCAACCCTGGCTCGGGTGCCCTCTGGGGGTCATTGAATTAAGGATTATGCGACCGCGTGGCCGGTTTAATAATGCGACGTCGTGGAAAAAGGAAATTAAGGAGCGGGAAATAGAATGATAGCAATTTGGCTCGGTCATGCAATCGGATGGGGACAGATTGATAATACGGTTGTTTTTTGTTTATTTGTGGATGCCGCTGAGGTATTCCGGTTTAGGGACTGGGCGGGGTATTCCGATAATCTATCGTGATTTACGATGTCTCGGAATAACACGGTACCGCCTGACTCGAGGACGATTAAGGAATCGCGGAGGTTTGGGGGGCGGTTATTACGGGGGAATTTAATGACTCATCGGGAGGGCCGGAGGTCTTATTCAAGTTGAAAAGGATTAAATCGCTAATTGAGTTAAGGGGGTGCGTATTGGTTGACCGAATTTTGAAGTTTCAAGGACGAAATTGGGGGAATTGCAAGCTTTTAGTTGGGTATTGCGTGGTTTATTATTTATTTTCGGAATAGTTTGAGGGTTTGAAGGATTTAATTTGATTTCTTATTTTAAATGGCTGAAGAAAATTTATGTCGACAAATGGAATTTTCGAAATTTTACGCGATTCTTAAAGATTTTTTTTTTATTTTGAAAATTGCAAAAAATATTTTTTTCAATGTCTGGAAAAAAATGATAAATTTTAGTTGTTGATAAGGATTTGTAAAAGTTTTGAACAATTTTTGAGTTCTTTAGGAAGTTTTATGCATTAGAAGACAAATTGGATTTTTTTTTAAATTTTCCAAAACTCAAAAAAATGAAAAAAACATGTTTAAAAATTTCAAAAATTACAAAAAAATGTTTTTCCAATTCAAAAAACGAAAAAAAACGTGAAACAATTCTTTAAAAAATGTTTTTTTTTGTTTCAATTTCAAAATTGCAAAAAATATTTTTCTCAATGTCAATTCTAGTATCAATTTTATTTTTTGACAAGAGGTGGTAAAAGTTCTAAAAATTGTCAAGAAAAAAGAAATTGTTTCAGTTGATTAAAAAGTTTTAAGCATTAGAAAACAAATTGGATTTTTGTTCAATTTTTCTAAAACTCGAAAGATTAAAAAAACATGTTTTAAAATTTCAAAAATTACCAAAAAAATTAAAAAATCATTTTTCCAATTCCAATAACAAAAAAACCTCAAACAATTCTTAAAAAAAAGACTGTTTGCAAAATCTAATTTGAATCACTTTTTTAAATTGTCTCACGCAATTTAATTCCCAAATAATTGAAATAAATTCAGCTAATTCTTGTTAAATTATTATGAAATTTTATCCAGGCCCTAGAAATGAGTCCGAACGATAAGAACGCCCTCTTAGCGAGGAGCAAGTGTTACCTCCTCCTGGGAGAGCCGCAGAAGGCCCTGGAGGACGCTGAGGCGGCGTTGAACGAAAAAGTCAAAGACCCTGGGAACGCACGGGCCATGTACTACAAAGCCGAGGCACTTTATCACCTAGGAGACTTTGAATTGAGCCTCGTTTATTACTACCGCGGTATGAGGATTAGACCGGAGTTTGATCAATTTCGTCTGGGTGTGCAAAAGGCCAAGGAGGCCATTCAAAACATCCTAGGAGGTGTGTAGCTAATTTTTATTACCCGATAAATTCTCAGTGAATGCATTTCAGACAACAGTGTGCCCATTAAAATCGATCCCGCTGCGAGGGTGGAGGAGATTAATAAAACTGAGGCTGCGAAAATTCCCGCCAACTTGGAGATCCCCGAAGACCCGGCGCCGACGGCTGCGAAGGAGCCGGAGAGATCGACGAGTGCTGATAAACCGATGAGTGAGTCCTCGGGGGATAAAAGGAGACTGTCGTCGCAGAGCAAACGGAAGAATAATTGCCCTAATTTACTGGGACAGCTCAATGTGGACAAAAAGTATCTTCAGGACTTATTGAAATGTCCAGGTAATTTAATTATTCATGTGATCAGCGAATTTTTTCAGTATTTGTTTCATCCACACAAAAAATTCAGATTTTCCGTTTGTCCAGGGGCTGTCCAGGCGGCTGGCAAAGCCTGAAAGTTTGACGGCTTTGCCAGCCGTTATCCTTTTTAATCGGGATGTTTCGTTTATTAGAAGGCAGAAAATATAAAAAAACTGACGTTATCCCTCTTAATTAGACTGGTTTGTCTAATACTGGGAGTCGTCTGTAAAAATTATAAAATTACGGAAAGTCATTCTTTTTCTCCGTAAATATTGCATTCACCCTCATTCCCACCCCCGCAAAAAAACACTATCGAATCGTTCTTCATTTATCAACCTCGCGTTCCTCTAAAAAATGGCGCTGGCCTGTGACGGTTGCAAATGGACCGGCAAGAAACGTCGAAAGTTCGTCTCAACCCACTTCCACCGGGAATGCACCCGCGAAGCCGAATACGGTTGCGTGATGGGTGTCTCCGGGCCGGTGGTGACAGCTGGCAAAATGTCAGGTGCAGCGATGTACGAGATAGTTAGAATAGGTCACAACAAGCTCGTCGGTGAGATAATCCGCTTGGAAAACGACACCGCGACGATCCAAGTCTACGAAGACACGAGCGGCGTAACCGTCGGCGAGCCGGTCCTCAAGACAGGTTCCCCTCTATCAGTGGAGTTGGGTCCCGGGATCCTCGGGGGTATATTCGACGGCATCCAAAGACCCCTGCAGACCATAGCAGAAGTATCAGGCAAGATATTCATCCCGAAGGACATCCACTTGCCCCCCATCAACAGAGGATCCCTCTGGGACTTTCAGCCCTTCAACCTCCGGGTAGGATCCCCAGTGACTGGTGGCGACATCTACGGAGTCGTCTTCGAGAATACTTTAGTCAAGCACTACATGATGATCCCCCCGAAGTGCCAGGGACAGGTCACCTACCTCGCCCCTCCAGGAAGCTACAACGTTGACGACACTATTCTCGAGATGGAGTTCGAAGACGAATGCACGGAGTACTGTATGCTCCAGGTCAGTGATAGAAAGGACTATGTTGGAATATGGGATGCAGGTTACGGAAGTAAATAAGTTGAATCAGTTTAACCAGAGCAATGATACCATTTATTAGAGACGTGCTTTCTCTCTGAGAGCCGTCGAGGAACTAGACTCAAAATCAAATAACTAATAAGCAATACGCATATCCACCACAAAGGGGATAAAGGAGAACAGTCGTTTCTTTCATTCTCTTGAGTTCGTCATTTGTTTATATGACGCTAAATAAACAATCAGCTTCAGAGAGTCGTATAGACCTCCCAAGCATCTCTCATTTATACCAATGTGACGTGTGGAGATATTCACACGTCGATTTTATTCAATTAATATTTTCTAGATAGAAAAAGTCCCAAATGCTCAATAAGCAGTCTCACGGTGACACCTGAGTCCAGCTTCTCAGAATGGAGCTGTTTGATTGTCTTAGCCATTGTCAGTGATGGACATATGGCCGTGTTAGTTAGAAAAACCGTGAGAACACTTATTTAGCATTTTCGGCCAGCAACGACTTTGAAGCTCTGGAATAGGGCAGAGTACGGCAGGAGTTGAAGATGGACGGACGTCCTCTCCTAGCCAAAAATCTATAGTAGATCCGCGTCGAAACCGAACCCATTTAACAGTTGATTTTATACTTTACCTATCTATTCAATATACTGTCAATTATTAATGTAACAGTGGTGCTCGATTGTTTTATACGAAGAATACCTAATCAAATCCTATCCTAGTCGCGTCACGTTAGATCTTGAGAGAAATCCGCGTGAGCTCTGACCGTAGCTAGTTGAGCAAAAGTTTTTGAGTCGACTGGTGACTCAATTAAGGGAGGTAGAAAACCTCTCACGTCACACCAACTACGTCACTCTTGATAATTTAATTAATTATTTTGGTATATTTCAACAGACTAAGTATCTATCGACTTTGTACTTGATGTCAAGTGCTTGTGTGCTCAAGTATTTAGACCTCAGTGAATCTTACTTTGCCCATCACTACTGCAGATCTGGCCCGTCAGAACCCCTCGTCCCACCTGCGAGAAGCTCCCAGCCTCCCACCCCCTCCTGACTGGTCAGCGAATCCTCGACTCTCTCTTCCCTTGCGTCCAGGGTGGAACCACAGCCATCCCCGGTGCTTTCGGCTGTGGGAAGACAGTCATCTCTCAATCCTTATCGAAATACTCCAACTCCGATGTGATCGTCTACGTCGGCTGCGGCGAACGGGGGAACGAGATGTCCGAGGTCCTCAGAGACTTCCCAGAATTGTCTGTCGAGGTTGACGGCTCCACCGAATCCATCATGAAGCGGACGACCCTCGTCGCCAACACATCGAACATGCCTGTCGCTGCTAGAGAAGCTTCCATCTACACTGGCATCACGATTGCCGAGTACTTCAGGGACATGGGGTACAACGTCTCGATGATGGCGGACTCGACGTCCAGGTGGGCAGAGGCTCTCCGGGAGATCAGCGGACGGCTCGGAGAGCTCCCAGCGGACTCCGGGTATCCGGCTTATCTGCGGGCGAGGCTGGCTAGCTTCTACGAGAGGGCTGGCAAGACTCTCTGTCTTGGGAGTCCTAGGCGGGAGGGATCCGTCAGCATCTTGGGGGCGGTGTCACCTCCAGGAGGCGACTTCTCCGATCCCGTGACAAGTGCTACTCTGGGAATCACTCAGGTCTTCTGGGCGCTTGACAAGAGACTAGCGCAACGGAAGCACTTCCCGGCTGTCAACTGGCTGATGAGCTACAGCAAATATCTGAAGACTCTGGACGATTTCTATGACGAACATTTTCCGGGATTTGGCGATCTCAGGAAGAGGACGAAGGAGGTCCTGCAGGAGGAGGAGGAGCTCAATGAGATCGTCCAGCTCGTGGGGAAGGGGTCGTTGTCGGAGACTGATAAGGTCGTGCTGGAGGTTTCTAAGATGCTTAAGGATGACTTCCTTCAGCAGAATAGCTACTCCGCTTATGATAGGTTCAGCCCGTTTTATAAGACCTTCGGGATGCTGAAGAATATCATGAAGTTTTATGATTGCTCGATGGAAGCGGTGAAGAGCGCGGACAGGACGGGGCAGAGGATCACTTGGGAGGGGGTCAAGGACATTATGGGACCGATCATTTATAGACTGAGTTATATGAAGTTCATGGATCCGATCAAGGATGGGGAGGAGAAGATCAATAAAGCTTTTGGGAGGATCTATGAGGATATGGCTCAGGCTTTTGAGATGCTTCATCACTAGGATTGAATTTTTTCATGAGGTTGTTGCAATTTGTGAATGCTATATCCTGTTTTATTACTTCTATTCACAAAGTGCTGTGATGATTTGGGAGGGGGGCGTAGGGGAAAGTGGAACGCTAGGCAAAGCGGAGCGCTTGTTTATTGGGTCAAGTGGACAGGACGGGCCAGAGGATCACTTGGGAGGGGGTCAAGGACACTATGGGACCGATCATTTATAGGCTGAGTTATATGAAGTTCATGGATCCGATCAAGGATGGGGAGGAGAAGATCAATAAAGCTTTTGGGAGGATCTATGAGGATATGGCTCGGGCTTTTGAGATGCTTCATCACTAGGATTGGATTTTTTCATGAGGTTGTTGCAATTTGTGAATGCTATATCCTGTTTTATTACTTCTATTCACAAAGTGCTGTGATGATTTGGGAGGGGGGCGTAGGGGAAAGTGGAACGCTAGGCAAAGCTGGGGGATGGGGCAGAGGATCACTTAGGAGGGGGTCAAGGACACTATGGGACCGATCATTTATAGGCTGAGTTATATGAAGTTCATGGATCCGATCAAGGATGGGGAGGAGAAGATCAATAAAGCTTTTGGGAGGATCTATGAGGATATGGCTCGGGCTTTTGAGATGCTTCATCACTAGGATTGGATTTTTTCATGAGGTTGTTGCAATTTGTGAATGCTATATCCTGTTTTATTACTTCTATTCACAAAGTGCTGTGATGATTTGGGAGGGGGGCGTAGGGGAAAGTGGAACGCTAGGCAAAGCGGAGCGCTTGTTTATTTGGTCAAGCGCTCCATGAACTTCTATTGGAATTCTATGGATTTTTTCTATAGAATACTTTCGTTGAACCTTTCTATTGAACGAAACGCGCTGATAAGTTTTTTAAGTAGTAGATATGCAATGGAATTTTCTGGCGAATTCGCAGGTTTTTCTAGAAATATTTGATTTATCGTTTCAGATGTGAAAGCAGCTCATCAGGAGTCAGCTCAGCACATAACAAAGTACGCGGAGGAAGGCATATCATTTCTGAAAAATCGTCAAGAATTCTGGCGTCAGCAGCGTTCAGCTCCCCTGAAGTGATAAGCAATTTTTAATTATTTTCTCTTTACTAGTTGATGAATGAGGATTGATTGTTACAATGTACCTAAAAATAGAGTTCAAGGTTTATCGTTTTGCGTTAACAATCGCTGTGTATCTGGAACTTTCATCCGTGTCTATTATCCCAATCGATTTGAACTAAACCTTAAAACTCATCAATTGTTCTAATACGCCTGCATGTGAAATCGGATGGTGAAATCTTAATGTTCCAACATGTGGAACGAATGTGGAGCGGAATTCAAGGATTTCGACGGTACTTCATCAAGCGCAAGGGGAAAATGCGTCTTGTCAGATAGAAGTTCTAGTTGCTTTCGCCGAATCATCGACGCGTGGAATTGACTTGAAACGATAAATCGGTGGAATAGCACTTCGTTTATAATGATACTAGACCGGACGCGAGCGCATGATCTATCACCTCATTTACTTGGGCGAAATTTTATGTACTCATATATGCGGAAATGCATATGCATAAATTTTTTGCATTGTGAAAAATTTATGCATTTCTTTGAAATTTTGCGTTTTTTGTAATGCATAAATGCATTATAAAAATGAAGGATAAGTCAGAAATTAGTGAATGATTTTGATTTTTTGGTCAATTGCTTTCAACTTTTCAAAGTAGCCCGATCAATACCCGTAATTGTTGAAAATAAGGGAAGCGTTAGGAATCGATTTTCTAGAAACGTGAACTATTTTCTTGAATTGTTCCGGAAATTCGAGAATTCTCTAGAAAAATTGAATAACTTTCTAAATTTTTCTCGAACGAAAAAAATTGACATTTTTGGAGAACAAAATGGAAGAGAATCAAATTTATGCGATTCGCGAAAAAAGAAAATGAAAGAAATTGCAATTAGTGATTCACGAAAGGAAATGATGAGTGAAAATACAGAAGGAAGAATTACTTAATTTCGCGCATGTTAGACATGAGAAAAATGCCAAAGAATAATTTGTGAGTCTCAAGAATTTGAAAATACCGCACGTTTTTATCGACCAACTTCACGCGACCCATTGAAGTTTCGATATATTTCAAGATCGCACAACTTCACGAAACTCTCATCTTTTATAATGCCACATCAACTTTCTACAAATAATTTTTTTTCTTTTGCCCTCATGTATTGAAAAAAATGAAAGAGACAATTTAACTCGAGAAAGACATTTTTATTCACTTTCGTTTGAGCAGATGACACAAATTACGATTTCTAAATTATATTTTCATTTATTTACACGACTACAATATAAAGGCACAATACAAAAGAAGAAAATATTTTAATTTAATTTGTTTTAGAATTTCACACTAATGAATTGGTAAAATTGAAACAATTTTTCCGTGAACATCTCTAAATTAAAAAGAGATAAAAGTTCACTCATGAAAATATTATCATCTCCCATAAATATCTAAGATATTCACTAAAAAATAAAATGTGAAGTCCGGGAGAAATTGAATTTTCTCGTCTTACCACTTCACCACTGAACGAAATAACCGAAAAAAAACGCTTCTCAGGTGAATTAGAGAGCGTGACTGATAATCCACACACGAAGCAGTGATTTATATCCACGAAAACCATTTCTCTCTCGATTCGTTATCTGCCGTCGTTCCCGATGAGACTTATCTCCATCGTGTTGATTATTATTTTCTCTTTTTTTTATTCTATCGCTGTCATTACTTCCTGTAGCCAAGTTTGCGCAGCGCCTTCAGGTCCACATCGCCGTAGTAATCCTCGCTGGAGTAATTTCAGTCATTTCGATAAAAATAGAAGAAACAGAAAATAATTAACGAGTGATTCTTCAAGTACGATTGAACACAGACAAGTGTTAGATCACCCAGTGAGCGACATTTTCCGTTCCACTTCCATCCGTTGAAATTCTATGATTCCTCACCTCTCGTTAACACAACAATTAGCTCAACATGCAATTAAATAATTAAATAATCATCTGGAATTAGGGAAGAGTGCAGTGCGAGACACCAGGAGTTTGAATTGTTTTTCTAGTTTTATTCTTTTTGTCATTTTATTTTACGAAATTTTGTCTTGTTTCATCGTCAAATTAAAAATAAAGTGAGGAGGAGTTGAGGGAGAGGGAGAGGGGGATTGTTGAGTCGAGAATGAACTCTTTTTTTTTCTTCTAATTAAATCTTCACAGCTTTGGCACTCCAGTGTTATTGATTCTCGACTCACTCGGGAGTTGGGTTTTTGGAATGTGAATGAATTTGTTGCTTTGATCTTTAGAATGGGAGATGGATTTTATTCTTGATTGGGTGAGGGTCTTGGCACTGGCGTTGGCCTGGGTTTAGCCTGTGGTTTAGCCACCCTCGACTCTCCAGAGCCCTGAATACCAGCCAGCAGTTCACTCTTCCTGATGCTCTTGAGGTCCAGGTCACCATAGTAATCCTCACTGTGGATCAGACGAGACAGGGGATCAGGATGAGGTCATGCATCAATTTTTTGTGCTATAATGTATGTGCGTACGTGCGATTCATGAATAATGTTTTAGCGAACAAATGGGGGGCAGGCTGATAGTTAGACCCGGGGGGGGGGAAACAGTTAATTGATTAATTTAGTATTCGTGGGGGGGGGGACTCACCATCCGGGAACGTCTTCGGGGTCTTCGCAGGCGCCACTGCCGTCAGAGTCGCCGATCTTGAAGACCGTGCCGATCGGGCAACCGTATTCACGCGCTATTCCCTCGAGACAGATGTAGTACTTTCTGCAGTCGTCTGGGTGAGCGTGACGGGAGAAACTTCCGGATGCTCCCGCCACTTCACCGGCTGCGGGACAACTGAAACCTCCGGCTACTTCTGCAGAAAAATTAATAATAAGGTTTTTAGTTTAGGAAATTCGGGTGGAAATTGCGAATTTTTGGCAGCCGACATTGTGCCGACATTGCGCCGACGTTGGCAGCCAACGTTGTCGGGTAATATTGCTCTGACGGTAGCTGCCGACATTGCCCCGACACTAGCCCAACATTGGCCCAACGTAGGCAGCCAACATGGGGCCAACGTTGGCAGCCAACACTGCCCCAACATTGGCCCAACGTTGGCAGCCGACATTGCCCCAACATTGCCCCAACATTAAAATTTTTTACCTTTCCCTGAATACTAAAACTAATAATTTGGTGTTCAACAATTTTTTTTTCAACAACAGATGCTGCAATCAATCCCATGATTGAACCCGATTAAAATAACATTGTGAAAAATATTTTAAATCACAACTTAATTCATTTAAACAATCATTTTTTAGTTATCCTGACGCAAAAAATTGAAACTTCCGAATTTGACGAATACAATGCCTCCATTCGGAAGCAAAAATAAATTTACAAAAATCTTGTGTCTTTCGCGATATCGTTTGCAGGTTCATAAGACCTCGAATTCACGCGTCTAATTTTATTACTGAATAAAATAATTTACAGTGTTTACTATAGCTAATTTCGCCCGCTTTCTAACGACACTCGGACATTTATTTTCCATTCCCTGAGATATAAGCGTGAATTAAACGTGTTAAATAACACTATCGCCACTATCTGATCTGAATACTAATTTGTTACGTATTGAAGGGAACATTCGGTGAATTTATAATGTCAGAAGGAGTTTCTTTCTCCAAAAATGGGAATTATGCAATCGGTTTTGGCGTTCGGCGAAGCATTCATTATGTTCATTATTTCTTTGGGAGAACTTGAATGCGTCGAGTTTAGTTTTCGTCTTTTGAAATTTGAAGTAATCATTATGGAATTTTTAAAGTTTACGGATTTACATGAAATGTGCATCAGGCAATTTTTGGAAACTTAGTATAGAAATTTGAAAGATATAGAAATCATGGGACGGGCTAAAGTCAGGGGAAGAAATTTAGGTAAAGAAATGAATCCCGGAAAAATGAATTTTTCCGAGGAAATTTAATTTTTTTTTTAATTCAAACCTGAAATTCAACGATCGAAACCAAATTTATCATACTTCCTAAATTAATAAGAGATTCCATGAATGATTTGATCTTGAATTCAATGAAAATTCATATTTAAAATTGACTTGCAAATACTGCACAAATTTAAAAAAAATTCAACTTTTTTTTAGCGGAAATTTCCGGTTAACTTTTAGGGAATTTTCATCACATTTTATTTCCACTGGTATTCCGAGGAATTTCGTCATTGAAAATTCAGAATTTCATGAAAAATCAATGAGAACTGTAGACTCTGGTACATTTTTTTGATGAAAATCACAAAAAATCAGGAAAATTGCGGCAAATAAATTCTTGAATTTTCAATCAATTTGAAATTTAGCATAATTCAACTACAAAATGTAAAATTTTAGTGAATTTTCCCTCAAATATAAAATTCCATATTTTCTCCCCCTAAATCCAATTTCTCACAAAATTCGTTGAAAGTGAAATTTCATTTTTCACTCATTCATCTTTCAAAATTGAAAAATCAACCCTCTAAACTCAATTTCCAAAATTTCACACGTTTAAAACTGACATACAACTGCGCCATAAATTCCAAAAATTTCAACTCCATTTGTCGCCCGACATTTTTCTCTGAGAAAAAAAAAAATTCATATTTTTCAAAAAAAAAATCCCAAATCGCTTCTACAAACTGTTAGGAATTAATTCCACAAAAAAAGTATTCTCAAGAAAAATGCACTTATCCTACTTCACCAATTCCCCGCAGAATTCAAAAAAATTTCCAAGAAATAGTAGATTTCAGGACGAGTGCCATGGGGTTTTTACTCGCGTGGAGTTGACTTCCGCGCCTTTGGCTCGGACTGGCCAACCACGCGATTAAAAAAACCCCATGGCCCTATTCGTAAACGATATTATTCCCTAGTGATTTTCACTTTTACGAGTTTGGAGAAGATCAGTACAAAAAAATCACTAGCGAAGTGATCAAACGGTTCAAGTCAATTCAGTCTTCAGTTGAATTTTCCAGAAATATCTCCGAATTTAAGCGAGATAACGAAATTTTCATAATAACCTTTTTTGTAGAGCAAATCTAGTCCTACCAAAAAGGTCATAAGAAAAATTTTGCTATCTCCCCTAGATTTCGAGATATTCATTGAAAACTGGCCAAAAGCCAAAATCGATTCAGTCTTCAGTTGAATTTTCCAGAAATATCTCCGAACTTAAGCGAGATAGTGAAATTTTCATAATAACCTTTTTTGTAGAGCGAATCTAGTGCTACCAAAAAGGTCCTGAGAAAAATTTTGCTATCTCCCCTAGATTTCGAGATATTCATTGAAGATTGACCAAAAGCCAAAATCGATTCAGTCTTCAGTTGAATTTTCCAGAAATATCTCCGAACTTAAGCGAGATAGTGAAATTTTCATAATAACCTTTTTTATAGAGCGAATCTAGTGCTACCAAAAAGGTCCTGAGAAAAATTTTGCTATCTCCCCTAGATTTCGAGATATTCATTGAAACCTGGCCAATGGCCAAAATCGGCTTAAATCGTTTGACCCCTTCGCTGCTGATACGTTTTCCACGAAAAAAAAAAATTACTCACCTTCATTTCTGCATTCTGGCACTTGATCCGCCCACATGCAAACCCGCGCCTCCCTGTCGTACGCAAGTCCAGGGCTGCACTGATACCTGGAGGCCTCGCCGTTCCAGCAGTTCCAGAACGTGTCACATTTCTTATCATCAGCGAAAATCCCATAGAGCCGTTCACAGTGTGGAGTAGAAATCGGTGGCTCCAACTGCGTCCTCTCGCCGCACTCAACATTGTGAATGTAATCACAATTTTCAGTCAAAAATTTTGAGTCTGATGCGTCAAATGCCAGACCATTGCCGCAAGTCTTGAGCTCAGCCACGTTGTTGTCACATTTCCAGTATTTGTCGCATGATATGTGATGGGGGTAGAATCCAAAGTCATCCGGACATTTGAATGAATCCTGTGCACTTGACCCTGAAAGTAAAATTAATTCAATTAATAATACATGACCATTTATTATTTTCATTCGCGAGTCGCTTTTTCCTCGGGCTTTTGAAGGGCGTTTGGGGTGCAGTCGAGAGTGTCCAATATATGGAAATAAAATCGAGAATATGGTCTTATGTAAGGGGCACAAAGACTTTCGCCGAGGTACTTTCACTCGCCAAACCGACAGTGTACCGGATTCTTCTCAGCATCCCGTTCACTCCGCGGTATCAATGATCTCGATGATGCATCGACTGCTAATCCATCTCAAAATTCCCTCCCATCGAATTAAAAAAAAAATACTTCAAAATTCTATTCACGAAAGCGAAAAAAATCACATTTTTCTTTTCGATACTTCACGACTTTTTAAAAACGATTTAAAAACAATTCACGACGAGTGGAAAAATAGATAAAAAATCGATCACTTGATTTTAATTGGAAAAAGGTCGACTTCCTCGGAGACGTCACACGATGATTTTCGATTAATTAAGTAGTTCACACACAATGCGGCACATTCACTGGTTTTGTCTACGTACCAGCTACGAGGACAGCGGCAACAACGATGAACGTCTTCATGATTAATATTTTTTTTCTTGACAACTAATTTTTAAATTAAGGGGAAATATAATACAAAAATAATAGAACTGTTCGGGAGAACTTTCTTTTTTTTATCAGGGCACTGGTTATCCCCCTGGTTAAGGAGAACTCTGTGTTGGCGCCCTGCCGGTCTTCAGGCTTTATATAAGTCATTGGTCACGTGTCGTTCCCCTTCCCGGGGTTTACGAACGCATTGACGAGACCGTCATGAAGAGGTTTATCCAGCGCCATTGGGGCCCACCTTCTTCGTCCCTATGGCTTCGTACCTGTGGAACGATGTACCTTGGGGGAGAAGAGGGGCTTATGAAAATGCCATCCTTGAGTCTCTCGTCTAGTCGTTGCACCCAGAGAAATAATTTATTTAAATAAAATACGGTTTGTTTGAAGGAAATGAATAAGTTTATTTAAATAGTACGAAATAAACTTCTCATTTAAGGAAAATACGGTTTATTTTAATGAAATGAGTAAGACTTTTTGAATAGGAGGAAATAAAGTTTTTATTTGAGGATATTCAAGCACTTCAGCTATTTTTTCTCCAGTGAAATGCTTTTCTACTTTTTTAGTCGAACGTTAGAGCTTTTATTTGAGCTCCATTTAACCTCAAGTTTCCGGATATTTTAGAATGATTTTATTATCTAAAATTTGCAGGTCTGAATTTGAATCTCGATATTGAATCGTTTGAAAACATTTTCAAAATCTGAAAAAATAGAATAGAATAAGAAGATTGATGAAATAATTAAAAAATTGCAATTTTTAAAAATTACAAGCGTTTTTTATAAATAATTTGTAAACAATCAATTTTTCACTGCAAAAATCATGTGTTCGGAATCAACAAATTTTAAACAATTTCAATTATTTATTTATCCATACCAAATGTTTAAAAAAATAATAATTCTGAATATTCATGATTTTTTTAAATTTTCGTTTAGTTGAGGTGCTGTTTGTATCAAATAAATGATTTTTTAATTATTAATGAATATTCATTTAATCCAAATAAATTCTTCGTTGATAATAAGTAAATGAAGATTTTTCTCATAGTAAGAACATTTTTTAATTTAAACTAAATACCGTTTTTCTTCGAACTTGAGAAAAATGCAATAATTATTGAGAGCGAATCAGTCGAAATGAAACGAACTTTTTCTACATATGACACGCGAATACAGTTGAAACATAATTTCGAATTTCCTTTACAAAAAAATGAAAATGTGATTTTCTTAAAATGAAAAAACTATTCATTTGCAACGAATAAAGTGTTTATTTGATTTTAATAAATGATTCATTTAGAATAAATAAATTATCTCCCTGAATTTCATAAAAATTTTAATTGAAATTAATCAATTGTTTATTTGATATAAGTAATCCTTTTTTTTGAAACAAGTAAATAATTTCAAATAACGATTTTTAATTGATTCAAGTGAACAATTTTTCTGGGTCTAGGCTTTATTTCTTGCTGTTAAGAGTAAAAAGCAACATAAAAACGCAAATCCATGAATTATTTTTATCCTAAATTGAATTCACGTTGACAGTTTGAATTGTTCAGATTTGTTTTTTTTCGAAAAAAAAATTGGGATTAAATCTAACCACCGGAATTTCGGAATTTTTTTGTCGAGATTGGACGAAAAAACGAGGGATTTTTATTTTTCATCCCATTACTGGTTTCAGAAACGAGTTCGTCGCAGATTCAACGTCTGGGTCATCACTGAATTGAAATGTCAATTTTTTTAGGGATTGTTCTTCTACATTTTTCCTAGAATAGATGTCTGACGTAATCTCAGAAGTCGTAGGATTATTATAGAATTCCGAGGAGTTTTAATTTCTTTTTGAGCATTGGATTTGTTTTTTTGGAATTAAATAGGGAAACCTAGCGCTTTCTCTGAGAAATTCTGTTGAATTTCTATTGAAGGTCTTTTAGAATTTCATTAGAGAATTCGATGATCTTCCTTGGGTTGATTTCTTTTGAAAATTATTATTCTTTTGACATTTTTCAAATCGTAAATGTTATTTTTTCAAGTTTTTTCCGTTCAATCTTACTCGTTTCTCATTAGAAACTAAAATTAAAAAAAAAGGAAAATTTATGATCGAGAATTTCTGATAGAATGTCAATAGAGTTCTAATAAAACTCCAATCAAATTCGTAGAGAAATCGTGTTTTCTATTTAATTATTTTATACTTGAGAGGATAAAATGTCACATGCTTTTATTTAAGAATTTTTTCGTCGAGAATACATTAAATTTTAGAAAATTCGGAGGCGATTTATAGATACTAATTAGATCTAATATTTTTTTAGCTATTTGTTTCTTAAAGATGCCGAATTTAGAAACATTATTCGATATTACAATTCGACAAGCAAAAAACAATAGAATTTTTTTTTTTCATCATTTGTTGAACAATTGAAGAAAAAAATCGGAACATTTTTATTTATTGAGTGATTTCATAAAATATTTCCCGATCAAAATTTCTATTAAACAAATTCGCAAAAAATCTACAAAATTTATTAATAACAAAATTTTTAGTAGAAATCCAGCAGATGCATAATTTTTAATAAATTAGCAATAATTGTTCAATTAAAAATAATTATTTAATCTAATAATAGTTCATAACCGTCAACTTTTCAATTTCCTAAATTAAATGAAAATATCAAATTTTCATTAATTTTTTGTTTTACAATTTTTTAAAATAAATTTCTGATGTAATTTTCGAATGCGTGATAATGATCATGAAATTTTCATAAAAAATTTTTTTTTCAGAAAAAAATAGTCCACTGATGATTGCCCGTGGAGCAGTTCTCGAGTTATTAGTTTTGTCCGAACAATCATTTCCTACCAATTACCCAAAAAATAATTATTAAATCGGCTTCACTCTTTTACGCCCCAATTACAACAAAATTGGTCCTGTACCTTCCTGAGTAATAGCCTTGAGTGTGAGTATCTTTATAAGAGAAAGCAGGGCTAAATGGATCAGTTTCAATGGTCAGTAACTCAAAATCGAGAGAGTTAAATGCCAAAGAATCTTGCGTCATTTTCAATACATTTTTTTGACTTTGAAATGAGGCGGAATTCGACTCATTCATGGTGTTGTATTCGAAGTTGTCAACGATTTTAAAAAACCCAGTCTGTAGGTGGATCATTGTGCCACAATTTCATGAACTATTCTATTCATATATTCCTGTATGAATTAAGGATGTCCAAGTATCTTTTACAGTTTAGTCTTTTACTTTTAGTCTTTTACTATAGATTCAACCGTTTTCGTTGAATCTATAATGTAAAAGTGTCATTAAATTTACATTTTGCGCAGAATTATTATTTTTTGAAACATTCGTTGTTTATAAATAAACAATTTAAATTGTTTAAACTTTCGGATTTTTTGTAAGTAAATAATAATTTATTTACAATTTAATTTTAATTTATAAATTTTATAAATAAATAATATTAAATAATTATTAAATTATAATTATTTATAATTTAATTTTAATTTATAAATTTTATAAATAAACAATTGACAATTATTTATTTATAAACATTATGCATTAAAATTGAATTATAAATAAATAATAAAAATTATAAATCAAAATTAAATTATAAATAAATAATTTACATTGTTTAAACTGCCAAAAGTCTTCCTTTTTTATCTTTATTTACACTTTTTGGTTTTTTTATTAACTCACACTTTATTTTATTCCTCACTGACACGTTTTACCTCGCGATATCCGAGATTAAAAACGAGAAAATATCCAAATAAGCGACTCGTCGTCATTATCTCCTGAAATAAAAGTCGGATGCATATCATCAATCTCACCGAAGTCATCGGGAAATATTAAACAGTTGATAATATGCATAAAAACTCCGCGAAATGTCCTATAAAATGCGAAGTACGTTGATGACATTGCGACTCCAATTTCACCTTCGATAACTCATTTTCATTCAGAATTCACGCCGCTCATATAAAGTCATTAAATTCCCATTTTCCCACTTCGATAATCGAATGAAGAAGGAACCAGGGGAATATTTCATCACTCAATTCATATTTTATCTCACTCAACCCAAAATGTCAGTTTTAACCATTCTCCTTTCATTCATAATTTCGTCGGATCAATGAATATTAAACTCAAGTATTCGGCGATAAATATCACCTCGAGAGAAGCCACCTCGACGGTCGGTACTTTTTTCAAACGTCTCGTCACCAACTGCGAAATATCACGCGTCGCGAATTACCAAGTTCCTGTTTGTCACTCGTGCAATGCTCCCCTTGAGAACTGAAAATAAAAGTTCAATCTCTCGGGAACATGTATCACCTCATTAAATGTAAATTACAGGGCGATTTCATTGCTCACTTCGCATTAAAAAAATAGCATTATCTTTTGGTGAATTGATAAAATTTAACAATCATGATTACTAAAATCATGCTTTTGCTACTTCTCTGCTTTTATTTTTCAATTTTTTATTCAAAAAATCTCCCGACAGGCGGGAAAATTCTTCTCAAAAGATTTTCGCTACGTTTCGGGCGAAAAAATATAAGAAATATTTTTTGGAAATTGTTCTTGTCACGAGAATAGGATAAAACGCGATGAGACGGGTTTGAGTGGAAGAAATAATTTTAAAAAAAGATTGAAAACGTGAGCTGATGATCTCTAGGCGCCGCCATATTGCCAAGTACTCTGGGAATCCCCGTTGCCTCGAAGCGATGGCAATATGGCGGCTTAGACCTGCGCCACCTGGAATTTTTAATAATTTTTTAAAATCATTCGTCACATTCAAATGAACCTCATTTCGTTTTATATTGATCCTTTATCGGGAACTATTCCACTCCAAGTTTTTAATTACTATTGAGTATTTTGTAATTACTATTTAATTAGATTAGTCCGTATTCTCTACATTACGTACCTCAGGAGTGGATAGGACCAGTTAGATTTTTCTACGAAGTAGAATGATTCTATTTCAAATAAAAAAACTGGTATTGTTATGAGATTCAAGATTTCACGTTTCCGTCAAGAATACGTAAAAAGTTGTCACCCTCGTTTAGAAATAAAACATTGAAAATATTTTTTTTATTCAATTTGGTATAGTTTAGTATGTGTATAGTATACGTATTTACATATAAT